CTCGCTATATTATGATAATATAATTATTATAATTCATAAATTTCTTGTTCGTGCCACATAGGTAATTTTTTTTTTAAATACAAAGCTAGTAAACATTACTTGACCTCACCAGTTTAGCTTTAGCCGTCTATGTATCTCTGTATCTATCTATTCATTTATGAAAGATAGTCACTTATCGCGATCAATTCGCGTGTAATAATTGATATTGTTTTCGATTAATTGCCTTCATGATTGTCATTTTGAGATGAATGTAAATTCCAAAGCTCGATACCTCACGAAGGCTGTTGAAATGCAGTGCGTCGCTCTAAATCGGACTATAACACTTCAGAATAAGAAAATGTGGCTGATAAAAATGTACACTGTATGAATGGGAAATGTCTATTTCATAATATATGTATGTGTATAGTCGTCGGTCATACACCAGTGCTGGTGGTCTGGCGGTAATGCAAGACTAAATGTCTATGCACATTGCGCTCTTTCCACACTGCCGTTTTTTGGACCTGTTACACTATTGACGCTATGTGCATTCATAAGGGGACGATATATAGCGCCGTGGTCGGAATTTGACTAGAGAGATTAATTTAGAACGAAATCTTATAAGAAGTAGAAATGACTTATCCTGCATGCTCTCTTATATAATGTATATCAAGCCATTATCTGTTAAAATATAAATGATTCGCGTAAGAGGTAGAAAGCTGAAGATCCGAAGGTCATGTTTAGAATTTCGAATTTTTTAGCATTTAGTCATTATATCCAGCGGCATAGTACGCGTCCGGTTTTTTTTTGAGGTTTGAGTCACACGTGTCTCGTATATATACATAAACTATTATATCACTTCATATGAGGTAAATATAGCTACGAGTTATCACACGCGGCGCGGGGGGGGGGGTCGATACAAGTTAGTATGGTGGATTCAACCAATAAAGGCAACAGTTTTTAATGAAATGTGCTTCAGCTGTTGTTTGATTTTGGCTTGCTATGGTTTATATTCATACCATGTAAACCACTTACACAAAGATCGATATATCTATCTATCTATCTATCTATCTATCTATCTATCTATATATATATATATATATTAATATAACTTATCTATCTATCTTATAAGCTATCTAGCTCAAGCGTATCCTATCTATCTATCTATCTATCTATCTATCTATCATCTATCTATCTTATCTATTATCTATCTATCTATCTATCTATCTATCTATACTATCTAGCTATCTATCAATCATAAGCTATCTATCTACTATCTATCTATCTCCAAATCTATGCCCCTCATCGCTGTTATTATAGACATTGAAAAGACCTTATTAAATTCTATAAAAGATGAAAGCGCTTGTGTATAAACTAAATGTCGGATATTCTCTTTTAACTATAAATGAATATCGTGCCACTTAAAACTTTCCCAAGCTTTATACATATCCTATACAATGCATATACGGTATCCCGAGCGTTTAAATGTGCGTACTAGAAATATAATGCGCATAGGCCATTGGGAATATAAGTCGCGTTCTTTTACAGAAATAATTATAAGTTTCATACAAATCGCGGCAAATTGTCTGTATTTCAATGTGATTTTCGCGGGCAGTCCTTCATTCTGGAAAGAATATAAACGCACACAACGAACAACAGTGAACAATGGGATAGTTAAATATCAGCGATAGAAGCTGCGTGTGTACAAATCATGTAAATCATGAATTTTAATTCGTACATCAGGTGCACAAGTAACTGTAAGAATGAATATACACGCGCGTAGTTTTTGTATATTAGTCTGCCTGAGGCGCAGTATCATCAGACGGGTATGCCCGCCACAGAAAAGAGGAATTCCTGAATGGAAACAATAACTGCATTGAAGGCGAACTGTCGAAGATTCATCGATGATGATGATGATGATGTTGATGATGATAGATGATCGATGACAACTGTATTGGAATACGAAGATACACACTGGTAAGAACGCAGTGACTGGTTTCAAGCGGAAAACAAGTGGGAGAAAGGATGCCCTCCAAAGCTTTAAAAACTAGAGATAAAATAACATCGAGACAGGCGACAGATGGAAGAGATGAACAGAGGTTCGAATTCTACAAAAATCACAATATTATCGGAAAAAAAGAGGAGTTGCTGAATGGAAACAATAACTGCATTGACGGCAAATGCTCGAATCTAAATGATGATGATGTTGATGAGGATGATCTGTATAGGGATGCAGAAGATATCACTGTTGAAAACAGTGACAGGTTTCAAACGAAGCAAGTAGGGGAGAGAATCCCATCCAAAAGCTTAAAAACCAGAGATAAGACAACATCGGGCAAGGCGACAGGTAGACGAGACGAGCTGAGGTTCGAGTTCTACAGAAATAACAAGAAGATTGGTAACGCTCGCGTTGATCTTGATGAATTGAGAGGACTACTGATTGGCTCAGGTATAGTATGTGCGAAGCCGTTTTTACGCGAAAACATTCTCGCGAAAGTAGTGATAGCCTGTTCACTTATATATATATATATAATATATAATATATATTATATATATATATATATGGAAATTGATGTAGGTCATATATGTGACATTTACATTTATATGTTAATCACATTTCTGGCATCAGAGAAAGAGAGTGAGAGAGAGAAAGAGAAAGAGAGAGAGAGAGAGAGAGAGAGAGCAGATGAAGATGATTTAATGAGATTGAGAAAAGAGAGAGAGAGAGAGGGGGGGGGCAAGAAAAAGAGAGGTGTTGTGTTTGCGCATGTGCGCATGTGTGTGCGCGTCTGCCAGTGCGTGTGCGTGCGCGTGCGTGCATGTATGTGTTTGTGCACTACTTGTAGCTTAAATTTAACTTTAAGATGCTAAACCTGTTATTAATTGTCATCATCCAGGTTTCACCTTGAAAACTGTTGGCAGTGAGGATACAAATTCTCAGGGCCCAGTAGTGATGCGACCAGCACGCGGAGAAACAACCAACCAGATAGAAAGATGTAACCAAGCTAGCAACCGCAAACGCAAGTAAGAAACCATAAACAAATCTACGAGAGAGATGTCACGCCCACATCAATCGGCGTCGAAACTACAGCCATATCCACAGTAAGGAAAGCGGATACGACACCCGCCAGTAAGAAAGTGATTACCACACATACTGCTAACGAGTACGACCACACGCATTGCTAAGGGAGGCACGCCTACACCTGCCAGAAAGAAGGATACACTCACATCCACTAGCAAGGTCTCACCTACACCTACCAGTAAGGAAGCTACACTCACGCCCACTAGTACAGCGAGGGGCCACACTACCCTACCAGTAAGGAAGCTACACTCACACCCACTAGTAAGGAGGCCACACCTACACCTACTAGTAAGAAAGCTACACTCACAACCACTAGTAAGGAGGCACACCTACACCTACTGGTAGAAAGTCACACCTAAACCTAATAGTAAGGAAGGCTCACATACACTTCTAGTACGGAACGTACACCTACAGCAACCAGTAAGGAAACCGCACCCACACCTAACACTAAGGAAGCCGCACCAACGCCTACTAGCACGGAACCCGCAACAACGATCGCTGATGAGGAAGGCACGCTCCCACGTTCCGTAAATGAAGCGATAGTTACACCGACGGTAGCTGCCACTGAAGCAGCCACAGCGACTGCAATGTGGGTTCCGCACAGTGAAGAACAGCATCAGTGTGTGTACCCGCAGTTTGTCTCCTACGGACCCAATGTGACCTTCACGTACCGGAGTTTTGTACCACGTGACATCCGAGCGGCCGACCGTGCGTCTATGCAGCAGCATCCGGGGAGACTGGGGTGCGTATATGCTATCTATCTATCTATATATTTATCTATCTATCTATCTATCTATCTATCTTTTATCTATTTATTATCTATCTTCTATCTATCTAATCTATCTATTTATCTATCTTATCTAATCTATCTATCTATCTATCTCTATTATCTAAATCTATCTATCTATCTATCTATCTATCATTCTATCTATCTATCTATTTCTATCTATCTATCATATTAATCTATCTATCTACATGCTATCTATCTATCTATCTATGCTATCTTTCTATCTATCTATCTATCTATGACTTATCTCTATCTATCTAATCTAGTCTACTATCTATCTATCTATCTATCTATCTATCTATCTAATCTATCTTATCTTCTATCTATTCCTATCTATTATCTATCTATTTTATCTAATCCTATCTATTAATTCTATCTACTCTATTCTATCTATATCTAATCTATCTATCTATCTATCTATCTATCATCTATCTATCTATCTATCTATCTATCGTTTTTCTATCTTATCTACTAACTATCTATCTATTATCTATTATATCTATCTATCTATCTATCTATCTACTATCTATGCTAATTCTATCTATCTATCTATCTTATCTATCTATCTATCCTATCTACCCTATTTCTATCTATCTACATCTACTATCTTATCCTATCTATCTATCTATCTTTCCTATCTATACTATCCTATAACTATATATAATATATCTTGTGTGTGCGTGCGTGGCGCGATGCGTGCGTGCGTGGCGTGACGTGTGGGGTGTGTATGTGATGGTGGTTGTGTGTGTGTGTGTGTGTGTGTTGTGTGTGTGCGCGCGCAGGTGTGTGTGTATGTGTGTGCGTGCGTGTGTGCGTGCGTGTGTGTGTGTGTGTGTGTGTGTGTGTGTGTGTGTGTGTGTGTGTGTGTGTGTGTGTGTAACACCTGCATGCACACACGCACGCATACACACAAGCATGCACCCGCAAACACGCACATTGAGACGCTAAGTCAATATACTCAGGAGTAAATATAAATTTAAGCAATTTTATTCACTCCTGATATAATATATATATAGTATACTAAATACGCAACTTGATTTGCATTAATAAGAAATCATTCCGATAATAAAGACTATAGACATATTACACCCTGACACGCGTGCGTGCGTGCGTGCGTGCGTGTGCATGCGCGTATGTGTGCGATAAAGCTGAGTAGTATATATAGTTGGTGCTGGGTGAAAGCGACCCGCGCGCTCACTGCTAGTAACCATAATATCTGGAATGAATAATAATCTATATTATTCGCTCCTGATAGTATGATATTCGATAACTATGTACGTTTCAGAATGAGAGGATTTCTTTTTCCGCCGGCGATCAATCGCATAGACGGCGACAACAGAAACATGTTCATAGAAGTCGACCTTGCCAACGAATACATTATCACCGGTGTACACCTCACAGTGAGTGATAGCTGAGGGGTATAACAGTCGCTCTCTCACTCTCTCTCCCTCTCTCTCTCTCTCTCTCTCTCTCTCTCTCTCTCTCTCTCTCTCTTTCTCTCTCTCGCACTCCCTCGCTCTTTCCCCTCTCTCTCCCTCTCTCTCTCCACACTATTTCTCTCTCTCTCTTTCCCCCCTCTCTCTTTCTTTCTCTCTCTCTCTCTCTTTCTCTCTCTCTCTCTCTCTCTTTCCCCTTCTCTCTCTTTCTTTCTCGCTCTCTCTCTCTTTCCCCTCTCTCTCTTTCTTTTTCTCTCCCCTCTCTCTCTCTCTCTCTCTCGGTCTCTCTCTCTCGCTCTCTCTCTTCCCCCCTCGCTCTCTCCCTCCCTCTCTCTCGTTCTCTTTCTCTCCCATCTCTTTCTCTCTTTTCCACCCCCTCTCTCTCTTGCCCTCTCTCCACGCGCGTATATGTAACACAAGGCTACCCGACGTTTCAATCAAACTCATTTGTCAAAATAGGTCATGGCTGCTACAGAGAAATGACAGCAATTCTCCTTTTTCTCTTAAATATTAAGGCAAACACAGAACCGACGTTACAACGAATTATTGTAGATTAAAAAATGGGCAGTACATGCAAGCGTAACGTGTGTACATAACCCGAGAAATTCTCTACCGTGTTCATCATACATTCACTTGTTATCTTGTTATATTGTTGTTAATAATAGTTAGATAATAGCAGTGTAATAATAAGTGTGTCAATATCTTATCATATTTCTGATAACTCACTTTCACGGACTGACTATGCTTGTGTTTTCTGTTACTAGGGGCCCATCCGTAACAAAGTTGTCCTAGGTTTCCTCACGGAGTTTACTGTTCAATATTTAAATAACAACCGACGGTGGAAGTATGTCACCAGGAAAGGAAAACCACAGGTGTGTTACACCCGTGCGCTCATGTGCACGCACACGCGCATGCACGCACACGCGCATGCACGCACGCACGCATTACACGTACACACGCATGCACGCACACACGCATGCACGCACACACGCATTACACGTACACACGCATGCACGCACACACGCACACACGCATTACACGTACACACGCTGGATTAATAGGATTGGTTTGGACGTTAGATTCGAATTTGTTCAATTTTGAAAACTCAGACGTGCAACTTCCACATTAAATCGCGATCGTAACTGACGATAAACAAAACCTCCCGAAGCAGACGGAAAACGATATTGCCTTGACATCGTGCGTCCTACCCAATTCATCACGCACTATTTACGTCATCACGCACCATTTACGTCATGATAATTACGTCATTTATCACTCGATTGCTAACCGCGTCGTCATCACGCCGTTGTTGTAGATCTAGGTTGCACGAGTCAAACCGCACGAGTCTATAGCCTGCCAGCTTCCCACCCATCACGTAGAACGACCACCAAAGAGAAAGATTTACTTATTTTTGTGTTTTTATTGCCCGCTGGTGTGATAACGGAACAGGTTTAAGGCGTCACCTAATAGACATCCTATAATATTATTTATATAAACATACGCACGCACGCACACACTCACGCGCGCGCACGCACACGCACGCACATGCACGCACGCACACGCACGCACGCACGCACGCACGCACACACACACATTGTAGGTTATCTATCTGTGCCCATCTTCTTTCAGGTGTTTAGCGTTCCCAGGGGCAGCCACGAGCAGCCGGTGCGAGTGATACTGTTCCCTCGCAAGCTGTACACGTCTGCAGTGCGTATCTACCCGCAGCAGTGGTACCGCCGGCCGGCCCTCCTCCTACGCCTCCTCGGCTGCGACAAATCCGCCTGGCGGGACGTGTTGGAATACATGGAGGCAAAGTGGGGTCAGTGAAGCCTTCTCCCTCCCCAGCGCACCACACGCGCCGGCGCAGCAACCTCCTTCTACAGACTGGGGACAGGCCACATTCGATGATATTATAAATCACAAATGCGCTTTTTGGGTAGAATTTACAGATTTTATTTGTTTAATTAGATCGCTACAGTAGGTCACGCGGCGCACGAGATAACATTGTGGCCGGACTTCAAAACATACACAAATGCACAGACTAAACAGAACGGTAGCTTGCTCGCTTATAGCCATGAAATAAAAATAGGGCTTTACGACACTTGCCTCAATCACGTTCAACTGAATTTCGGTCATTCGATTCTGATAGCGATGTATGTTAACATTCCGAAAACATACCACAGTTGCAATAATGTATATTTATTTATTTTCATCATTTCACGTCATACGATTACTTTAAGTTAGTTATTGTCTATCTAGGAAACATGATTTGTCTTATTACTGAGTAGTACAAACAATACATATAAATATTTCTCACTTTTCTGCATTGAATTTACAGCACATAGCATAATTCAACATATGCACATTATAATTCTGCTTCTTCTCACATGAACATCACACAGACACTGTCACACGACGCGGTTCAAGCATATGGCTATATACATTCGAACAATGGAACAAATGGAATATAATACATATTCAGTTGAAAAGTGGTGGGGATGATGAGTGGTAGTGGTGGTGGTTGTAGTGCTGGTGGTGGTGGTGGTTGTAGTGCTGGTGGTGGTGGTGGTGGTGCTGGTGGTGGTGCTGGTGGTGATTGTAGTGGTGGTGCTGCTGCTGCTACTGCTGCTGGTGTTTGTGGTTGTGGTGGCGCTGGTGGTGGTGATGGGGCGGCGGCAGTAGTGGTGGTGGTGGGGCGGCGGCAGTAGTGGTGGTGGTGGTACTAGAGGTGGCGGCAGTGGTGGTGGGTTTACATGGATGTTATAGGCATCCCCATGCCTCCAGCATTAGGTGGACCCGCTGTAGCTCCAGGCGTTGGTATGACCAGGTTCGTTAGCAGGTCTTGCACGGCAGGAAAGATGCTGCATTCGCCTGTAAGTACAGAAACGCACTGTTCACAACTTATTCTATTTAACCAAGTCATTCGCTCTCCGCTCCCTACCACCTACCCTCTCCTTTGCCCCATTTTTAATCTGTCCTCCCCTTTTTCCCTCAATCTATCGTTTATTTCATTTCCTTATTCATAGCCCCTAAATTCTTTTAGTTCTGCCTTTTTCTCTATTCATCATCTCTGGCTCTCTCTCTCTCTCTCTCTCTCTCTCTCTCTCTCGCTCTCTCTCTCTCCCTTTGCACACACTGCCTGACACTCGCTCCACGTTTTTTCCTCGCCCCCTAACTCAGCCTCTCTAAAGACCAAGCGCAATTTACACCCCTCCAATCTCTCACATCACATTTTACATCACACACAAGTGGAAATGAGCAAATCTGCCTAACCACACACTCAACTGTGTATCACACGCAAAACGTTCTCGACAACGACAAACTAAATATAGCACGGGCTACAATAACAACTAAATACTACAACGTAATACAGCCCACGCGAGGGCAGCACCGTGCACTACCACGCACCCATCTGGTTGTTGTGGAACTCAGCGAAGCGTTTCAACATTGTGGAGATGATGGAGTTAGCGGTGACGGGCGGCATCTGCAGGCCGCGCGGGTCAGCCAGCAGCGTCTGGTTCGCCTGTGTCTCGTAGACGATCGGCACGACGATCGTCTGCGGCTCGACGTTGACGGGCAGCGCCATGCCGACACGCGTCAGGTGAAGCTGCGCACGGTCACGACGGAGGCAGAGAGATGAGAAGCCATTGTAACATAGCAACAGCGAAGATGATGAGAAGCCATGTAACATAGCAACAGTGAAGATGATGAGAAGCCATGTAACATAGCAACAGTGAAGATGATGACACACCATGTAACATAGCAATGATGTAACTAGACTGAAGCGAGATGCCATAATCCTGTTATTATGTATAGCAATACTTTTAGGATATTTATTGTCTATACATCATACCAGGAATTTATCGATAGACTCCTAATCATACTAGATTGGTGTTATTATACAGAACAAACATAACATGCAATATTTCTTACTGATCTGCAGTAAATTCGCAGCGCATAATAACTACGGACATTGCTTTTCGACTTCCAGCATGAAATTATAAAATTAAACAAAAGTATCCTTCATGGACTGGTACCCGTTCTGTAGAGTTGATCGGTTACCAGGTTTGCAGTATATAGCTTGGTAGCTTACTCACATAGAACAGTATCTTGTTCTTGGTGGTGATGATGGCGGCAGTGCCAGCGGGAGCGATGTGAGGAGCGGATGGTGGAATCGTCCAACACCACTGCACCGACCACTTATGACATCTGTCCGGTCTCTGCAGCAGCAGCAGCAACAACAACAACAATAACAACAACATCAACAACACTGCATTGCACTGCACTATGTGCAGGGATGCAGGGAACATAGATATATATTTATTTATTTATTTATATATGCTCATTGTCCTATCACCGCAATGCTAACAGGTGAGGACCTAACGAATGTTCACGTTGTTCAACCAAACCATTAGTTTGAAGCACGTTAACATGTGTGTTGAAACCATGTCCAACTTCCCCATCCTCAACATTTGCTGAATGCCCTTGCTGAAATTGTGTTTACATTGCAGTTAAATGCAATCACATCATCCCCACAAAGTGATATCCAAAAACTCAAGAGCAATTGTGATATGCCACCCAGGCAGACCAACACATGGCTGAAACACATGGCTATGTGATAGATGAATAGTAACAAGAGCATATAAAGAAGGAGAGCGTACAACGGTAAAATGCTGAAACCATGTTGCAGTATTAGTCGAATTAATAAACTTTCCCCGT